TGGAGTTGGATTGAGTGGGATGATGATTGGATTTGGATTGAGTTGGATGATGATTGGATTTGGATTGAGTTGGATGATGATTGGAGTTGGATTGTGTGGGATGATGATTGGAGTTGGATTGAGTGGGATGGAGTTGGATTGAGTGGGATGATTGGAGTTGGATTGTGTGGGTTGATGATTGGAGTTGGATTGAGTGGGATGATGATTCGAGTTGGATTGAGTGGGATGATTGGAGTTGGATTGAGTGGGATGATTGGATTTGGATTGAGTGGGATGATGATTGGCATTGGATTGAGTGGCTTGATGATTGGAGTTGGATTGAGTGGGATGATGATTCGAGTTGGATTGAGTGGGATGATGATTGGAGTTGGATTGAGTGGGATGATTGGAGTTGGATTGAGTGGGATGATGATTGGAGTTGGATTTTGTGGGATGATGATTGGAGTTGGATTGAGTGGGATGATGATTGGAGTTGGATTGAGTGGGATGATTGGAGTTGGATTGAGTGGGATGATTGGAGTTGGATTGAGTGGGATGATGATTGGAGTTGGATTGAGTGGGATGATGATTGGAGTTGGATTGAGTGGGATGATGATTAGAGTTGGATTGAGTGGGATGATTGGAGTTGGATTGAGTGGGATGATGATTGGAGTTGGATTGAGTGGGACGATGATTGGAATTGGATTGAGTGGGACGATGATTGGAATTGGATTGATTGGGCTGTTGATTGCATTTCAATGAAATATTGATTGCATTTAAATTGCCAGGACTGTTTGTTGAGGTGGAATGGAGGGAAATGACGATGAAATCGAGCGAACTGATAGCTGAGGACAGATGGAGTGAAATGATGATGAAGTTGAGGGGACTGATGGTTGAGGTGGAATGGAGGGAAATGACGATGAGATTGAGGGGACTGATGGTTGAGGTGGAATGGAGGGAAATGACGATGAGATTGAGGGGACTGATGGTTGAGGACAGATTGAGGGAAACGATGATATAATTGAGGGAACTGACGAGGTGGAATTGTTTGGAACATCAATGGCTAGCTGAGCCTTTGGACGCGAGTGGCCACACACCAAGCCAACACTCTCAGAGGGCTGTGGTGTGCCGAGAAACAGCAGACTGAGAGATCTCACCTTTCTTCCCGTCGAAATAGAGGGTCTGCTGAGCTGGGTTAGACCACTGTAATGAAGAGTTGTCATTCTCCTGGACAGTGCATTTCAGAGTGACCGTTCCATGTTCGTGAACGATCTCATCCTGAGTAATGGGATACAGCCACTCTTCACCTGCAGGGAGGTACAGAGAGAGATAAACATTTATGCCAGACTAACGTTAGACTGTTCACAGCTTCCAAACTGTGGGAGCCATTCTCCCCTCCTCACATTAAAAGCGTGTGGGCTGTTTTGAGATAAGGTACCTCAGGCGAATGTGTTAGCCAGGGGACAGTCTGACTCTCTGAAGGCTGCTGATCTGTTACGCACTGCCGCTGAAATAATAATTTCACAAAGTCAGGCTCTCAGACCGTTGTAATCACAAAGCAAAACACAGGATTTCTGCTGCTCGAATACACTAGTCAGGATATCTCCTCCATCCGCCATAGCATATGGCTCAGTGTCGGCTCCTGCACAGATACAGTAAAACACATTGTGTACCAGGGAGAGATTCACTCCTGCCTGGTACTTATTTTATTTATTCATCTGTGGGACGTGGGTGTCTCTGGCTGGGCCCAGCATTTATTGTCTGTCCCTAGTTGCCCCCCTTGGGAAGGTGGGGGTGAGCTGCCTTCTTGAACCCCTGCAGTCCATGTGCTGTGGGTTGGCCCACAATGTCCCCTTAGGGAGGGAATTCCAGGGATTCTGACCCAGCGACACTGAAGGAACGGCGATATATTTCCAAGTCAGGATGGGGAGTGGCTCGGAGGGGAACATGCAGGGGGTGGGGGTCCCATGTATCTGCTGCCCGTTGTCCTTCTGGATGGAAGTGGCCGTGGGTTTGGAAGGTGCTGTCTGAGGATCTTTGGTGAATTTCTGCAGAGCACCTTGTAGATGGTACACACTGCTGCGACTGAGCGTCGGTGGGGGGGGGAGTGGGATGTTTGTGGATGTGGTGCCAATTGAGCGGGGGCTGCTTTGTCCTGGATGGTGTCGAGCTTCTTGGGTGTTGTTGGGGCTGCCCCCATCCAGGGGCAAGTGGGGAGTATCCCATCACACTCCTGACTTGTGCCTTGTAGATGGTGGGACAGGCTCTGGGGGAGACAGGAGGGGAGTTACTCGCTGCAGGATTCCCAGCCTCTGACCTGCTCTTGTAGCCGCTGTGTTTACGTGACAAGTCTACGGAGTCATGGAGCTGTGCAGTTCGGAAACAGACCCTTTGGTCCAACTCATCCATGCTGACAGATATCCCATTTGCCAGCATTTGGCCCATGTTCCTCTAAACCCTTCCTATTCATGTACACATCCAGACGCCTTTTAAATGTTGTAATTGTACAAGACCCCACCACTTCCTCTGGCAGCTCGTTCCATACACACACCACCCAAAGCATGAAAATGTTGTCCCTCAAGTCCCTTTTAAACCTTTCTCCTCTCACCTTAAACCTATGCCCCTCTAGTTTTGGACTCCCCCACCCCCAGAAAAAGACCTTGTCTATTCACCCTGTCCCTGCCCCTCAGGATTTTATAAACCTCTATAAGGTCACCCTTCAGCCTCTGATGCTCCAGCGAAAATAGCCCCAGCCTGTTCAGCCTCTCCCTATAGCTCACACCCTCCAACTCTGGCAACATCCTTGTCAATCTTTTCTGAATCCTTTCAAATTTCACAACATCCTTCCTATAGCAGGGAGACCAGAATTGAACACGGTATTCCAAAAGTGGCCCTAACCAATGTCCTGTACAGCCAGAACATGACCCTCCCAACTCCTATACTCAATGCACTGACCAATAAAGGCCAGTGTCCCAAA